TCCCTCTCTCTCTCATACACACACACCCCAGCCCGCCCATCCGCTCCTTTGTCAGCTACTCTGTGTCACGCACACAATAGGGACCTCTGTAGTCCCATAACATGAAACATGCTCAGCCCACACCATCTGAATCCAGAGCGAGTGACGCTTCCACTTGGTCCAGCAGTAGATCATCGCTGTCCGCACACCACATCGATGCGCCTGACCTGCAGGCACATACCCACAACAAAGGGCCACGCATCAGCAACCGTCGCCAAACTAGCAGCCTCTTGGTTTCTCACTTGACGATGTGTTTGAGCCGCTGCCTCCGCTCCAACAGTGCCTGCAGACGATACGAGTCGTCCTGGCCGTCTGCTGCCACCACCGGATAACCCAACAGGCTGCCGGCATGGTGGGCGCGACACAACCACCTAACATGCAGTGCACCAACATCAATCACAGTGAGTGACATCCGAGCTCAAGGCAAGGAAGGCTCAGTCATCTGATCTCACTTTCTATTAACACACCTGTGTTTCTTCTTTGCTGCGTCCGCGTCTTCCGGAGGGATGAGGCGCCTGAGTTGCTCTAAGGCCTCCTCCGCACCTCTAGTCTTCCTCACAGCCCACCTTTGCTCCGCTCCACCCTCACTGTCACTGTCACTTCCACCTCCCACCCCTGCCTCCTTCGCCAACCGCTCCAACACCGCCAGCAGCTGATACGACTCACCCAGCCTCAGCAGACCCTCACGATTGGCCCGCTGGGTGCGAGCCTGACGAAGGAGGAAGTCGACGTACGCCGCGGTGCCCTGCTGCTTGAGAGCCGCCTGGTCCAACATGCCGTGTGAGGAAGAGGCATCGCATGGCGAATCACGACACGTGTCTAGCACGTGGCTGAGGTGGTCGGCAATGTGTCGACTGATCTCGGGCGCCTTGGGCACTCGCAGCCGGTCGTTGAGGCGGACATACTCGTAGGGCGTGATGCCCACACCAGCACCAGCCACCTCTTTCGGCCTCGCACCCTGCTGGACGCCCCTGCGGTCCAGAAAGCGCCTAGCAGACCGACCGAGCGTCTTGGCTGCGTCTTGCATGCGCCTCGCCTGAACGAGTCTTGCGAATCTCTTGCGCTGCAGAGCCCCTCTCCATGACGCCTGCAGACGGACCGCTGCCTCGCGCTGCGACAGCTCTGCATGCAGAAGGATCTTGCGAGGCGGCAGAGTTCTCAGGTAGGTGAGCTCCTGCTGCTTCTTGTGTAGGTCGGCTGCGATGCGCTGGCGTCGCTGGAGGAGGGCTGCGATGCGCTGATGGCGCTTCTTGCCTCTCCACCATCGCTGAAGCTTCACTGCTGAATGGAACTGAGCCGAGGCGGCATTGGACACAATCGACGGCATGAAACGGTGAAGGATAGCTGAGTGAGGGACGACGCCGTAACAATTGCCGCGACGGATAGGGGCAGGACGGTTTTACGGAGCAGAGTTGTGGGATGCGTCAGGGAGGCGGCATGACGACCTCCTTCTTCACTGGCTGAGTAGCTGTTGATTGGAGTGATCATCGCTGGACGCCATGTCCGGGTAAGGAAGGATGAAGAGAGGCACAAGAACGATGCGCGCATACGGCGGTGTGATGGCCCGCACTCGCCATGCCATGCAGCGCTGCCTTGCCTTGCCTGCGAAACGAGCCTATGCATTCCATGCCACCCCACCCCACCGGTGTGTGTGCATATCATATCGCTTGGTTGGTGCGGTGCAGGCGTCGTCCGTACACGGAGGACGAGGACTTGAAGATTGCCCAGTACATCCTCACGACCCAGGGTGGACCCAATGCCGTCGGTGAGCTGAGCACAGCACATACCCATCAACTCAACCCGGGTGGCTGGCTGGCTATGTCCTCAACTGGTCTTACGGCTCTCTCCGTGTGTGTTTCGCGTCAGGCCTTAAGGGCAATGAGGTGTGGCAGGAGGCCGAACGCAAGAAGGTGCGCCGACCGCACAGCATGACCATGATGGGTGATGGCTATGCCGCGGCACGTGTGTGTGTGCTGTGTGCTGTGTGTTGTGTCCTTCCCCCCTCCGTCCGTTCATTCAGATCCTTAACCGCACGTGGCAGTCGATGCGGGAGAGGTGCAAGAAACACATACTACCCAAGTTAGTAACCAAACGATAGACAGACAGACACCATGGATTGGATGCGATGCATCGAATCCAGACACACACAGCCGACATCACATCACCCTCTATGTTCCCACCCACCTGTGTGGTTCATTCAGTTTTGCCCATCTCCAGGCGGTGTTGCTGAAGGGTCCGGTTGCCGAGTCCCAGCAGTCGGTGGCCTCGGCCGCCAGAGCCTGGGAGGCCGGCGGACGGGCCGCCATGGGCATGGGGGCGGCGGCGGTGGGCGGGGGGGAGGTAGCCGATGAGATAGAGGAGCCGGGGCCGGCTGCGGCTGCTGCGGGGTACGTTCAGCAGCCGTATCAGGCACAGGCGGCCAGTCGCATGTCGTATGGCGCAGTGGCCAACGGTGCCGCTGCGGCTGCTGCTGCCGCCCCTGCGGCCGCTGCTGCCCAGTACGGTCAGATGATGCACCACCCCTACTACATGATGCCTGAGCAGCACCAGCAGCAGTACGCAGCACCGGCAGCCGACGGAATGTATGAGGGTAGGCAAACCCCCCGCAACACACCACACACTGAATGGCAGAGGCAGACAGAGAGCATTTTTGCGGGGGCTGTGTGTGTGTGTGTGTCTGTGTGTGCAGAGGAGTTTGATGCGGACATCTGCGCGCAGAAGGTGGAGCAGGTCAAGAGGTAGGGCGGCCGCAGACCAAGACATGTATGCACGGATTCACGGACCTAGGAGCTCTCACTCGGCGTGTGTGTGTGCTGTGCTGTGGTGTGCTCCCTCACTGACTGCAGTTACTTCACGGATTTGTGTGACAACCACGGGTTTGATTTCGACGACGCCAACCTCAGCCTCATCCACTGGTTCAGGGACATGTGGCACAAGTAAGCCACACAAACAGAGCAGACAAGCAGGCAGACAGAGAGACTGGCAGACGAAGACACCGTACCACACCGTATCACCCCTTGGCCCATGCCGTCCTTCAGAACCCACTTGGGCCCGAGCAGTGACCCCGAGGCGTACCTGGCGTTTTACGAGGAGTGCAGCGCCGTGCTGGAGAGCACGGGCGGCAAGACGGCAGAGGCCCAACAGGCCATCTTCCTCAAGTACGGGGCGGAGGGCGACGCCGCCGCCGCCGCACCTACGCCCGCCGTCCAGCGCATGCGCAAGTGATGGAAACAAGACACATACACAGACACACAGCACAGAAACCACACACCGATGAGGGTCAATGGCATTGCAAGGGAGGGAGGAAGGAAGCGCGTGGCTGAATGGATGGATGGATGGGCGAAGGTGTGTCTGCGCGAGTGGTCGGTGCGTGCGATTGACTGGGTGCGGTTCATGGCCGGGTGGGGGGTATGGCATGACTGGACGGAGTGGTTCGTGTGAGAGGTGTGTACAGTCAGTATTTCTCCCCTCAGTGACTTTTCGCAACGGTGGTTGCATTCGAGTGCGTGTGTGATGGATACGGTCTGGCTGGCTGCCTGCATGCCCGCGCGGGAAGGAACGAAGGACTACCGCATCAAGTTAAGTCGACGTGACGCTTTCATCCTCTCAGCACATACGTGTCTGCGCGCGCATGCACTGCATGAGTCTCGAGTGTGAAAGTCGGAAAAAGACAGCAATTGTCATGTCAGAGGGCGACAAATAGTGGACAGCCGAGAGAGAGAGAAAGAGAGAGAGACCGACCCGACCCAAGCACCTACCATACCCACCCAGGCCAAGTATACGACACACACAGCAAGGAGAAGACAGAGCTCTACAAAAACACCTAATAGTATCTACCTGGAATAATGGAGCCTGGATTGGATTGGCCCACCTGTCTTCTTTCAAAGTGACTGACCCAAAAGGCCGACACAGACACGTAGCCAGCCCAGCCGCAGGTGAGTGAATGGATACCCACAGACAGACAGACAGACAGACACTTACCTGCCCTCTCTCGCCAGACAGCCACACGTCAACGCAGACACAGACAGACTCACTGACTGGTGTCCCATCTCTCTCCCCGTCCCTCCCTCCCTCTCTCTTTCTTCTCTCGCTGCTACACACCTCAACAAAGACCACCAACGAGAGGTCCGGTCCACATCACCAAAGCAACCACGGACAGTACAGACATGTAACATCTATCTAGGCTAGGCCAAAAAAAGGCATGCAATGCAGCATCACCTTTGTCCGGTCCGCTACACGGATCCCATCACACTTGCACGCTACACAGTCACGTGACGCTACACCAACACACCACACCATCCCATCCCAAAAAGGGCTCGCATCGACATCGACAGCCTCACATCGCCCACACCAAAAGGGCCGCGATGCCGCCCCACACGGCGATATGCATGGCATTGCCACGCGCGCCGCTGGTGGTCTCCTCCTCGCCGTCCGTGACCTCCATATCGACGCTCTCCTCGCCCCCCTCACCGATAACACCGTCAGCCTCGGGCGCCGCAGTGGTCACCAATGGACCCTCGGTCACTGACGGAGGGAGAACAGAACAGCACATATAGGTACCTGAGCTGGAGTGTCGTGTCTGTTGACGTCACATTGTGTGTACCGGTGAGGATAAACTTCTGCTTGCGTTCGCAGTGGTCATCTTCTCCACACACGATGTAGTAGGTGCCGACCTCCTCAGGGGTCCACACAAAGCCCGGCAGCCCGGCATCGTGGTCGCCGATGTACGTCATCTTTGACTTGTCACATGACTCGTAGGCTGCAGACACGCAGACGTTCACACCAGGCAGATGAGTGAGTGCATTGCAGGTGTGCGATGGGCGATGGCATGGTGGCCACCATGGCGTACCTTCCTCGTCGCTGGCAAGCTTGACGTCGTGGAGAGGATCATAGACAAACCTCAGGCTCTGCCCGAGGGCGATGGCCATGTCGTCGTAGACTTGGCCTTCAGGGGGGATTACTGAGACAGACAGACAGACAGACAAGCAGACGCACATTCCTGACGCCTGCATAGTGTGCAGCCCCCTGCCTGCTTCAGCTCACTCCATAGTTTGTGGCCGTCCTGAGTCACCACATCGATGATGTTTGGCTGCGCAACGGCGAGGGAGATCAGTGCGAAGACCAGGACAACAAGCAGCATCATGCCAGACATCGCAGAGAATTGATGAGGTGACGATGATGAGAAGGATCAGTCCTGATGGATCTTCCAAGTTGCGCGAAGCCAGTGCTGCCAGTGCTGATTCGGGCCGAGCGATCGCTCTGGCGAGGTTTCATCCGGCCACAACGTTTCAGCCATGAGTCCGGTCGTCAACGTTCTGCAGTTTCTTTACCTTCTCCTGGACTGCACCCTTGCAGCCCACCTCCTCACTTCGCTCCGCAAACCACCCCCGCCAGCGTTTTCCGCCATCGAGCGGCTGTGTGAGGCCGAGAACATCCGTGTGCACATCTATCCTTTGCCGTGGGACCTCGTGGCCACTGCATTCAACGCCAACCTGACTGGCCTCTCCAGTGTGGGCGAGTTCCTCACCAGAGAGAGGGTTTTTGGCCTCCCCCTCCCGCTGCAACCTTTTTCTGCGGCTACCGCTGCAGCAGCGAGATCGGTCCTCAAGGCAGCGAAGGATGGAGAGCTGGTCGCTCTCAGCGCGCCAGTGGAGCTGGGGAAGTCTGCGGCTCTGCTGTCATTGCAGCCGAATGAGTCGTCGGCCTCTCTGGTGCTGAGGGACACCCGGCAGTTCTCTCTCGGGCGGATCTTTCATCGGCGGCTGATGGAGCTGCCGCCCAAGTGTGTGGCCGATACGGCTGAGGATGGGACGCTGTTCTTCATTCCATACTATAGGGGTAGGTGCGATGAGATGAGTGGGACGGACAAAAGGAGAACGACAAATGTGCGTGTGTGTGAATGTGTGTGAATGTGTGTTGCTGTGTCTGCAGAGTGGTACCATAATTTGATGCCTGCGTATCACCGTGGTCAGCTGACGGCGACGACAGCCACCACCACCATACTCAACGATCTATTTGGACAAATCTCTAATATCTTCCGCTCAAGTAACTAACACGGACGACAAGCAAACAAGACAGACAAAGAGACACACACACACCAGAAGCCCCTTAATTTTGCCTTTACCTTCTTTTCGTTCCTTCCTGCGTCAGCTGTGCAGCTCCCTCCCCTCATCTCCTCCCCCTGCACCCCAGCCGAGAACGAACTTGCAGACCTCTTCTCAAAGGAACCCTTCAGGCACACATTCAACCGGCACGCCGGTGCCGACCACTTCATGATCTGCCCCCGCACCGCCAAATCCACGGGCGACATCTGCCACCGATTCAAGTTCCCTACCATCACATACGAAGACCCATTCACCAGCAGAAGGAGAGAGAACGAGAAGAGAGTGTCGCAGGATGACCCGTGGGGCAACGTCATCAAGCTGGCGAAGGAGAACGGCGACATATCGGTGCCACATCCGTCATGGGTGCATCGGGAGGGCAGCGGACACATCACTGCGCTGGCGTCACAACACAGCAACGTCCAGCAGAACGACTCCCGGCCGCTGCTGGCTGTCTATGCCGGCTCCCTGATGGAGGACAGAACCTCTTTCTTCCTCGCTTCGGTGATTGGGCTGCGGAAGGTCTTCCAGGAGGCATGTCACTCAGTCACGCGAGACGACCCGCCGTTCTTTCGTTGGCAGACGGCATCTGGGGCGCTGGAGCTGACATACAGGTCGGATCAGCGGTGTCTGGTGTACGGCTTCCAGCGGAGCGAGCTGCAGGTCGGTGTGTTGGGTTCGTTCTTCCTGAGCGAGCAGCAGAGTGCCGAGGTGGCATTCCTGTACGGCAGGAGTGTCTTCTGCCTGCAGCCGCCTGGAGACATGCCCACCAGAAAGGGTCAGGAATACACAATCCGTATGCATGTGATGATTTGGCTAATTCACTCGTCTCTATGATTGGGTTCTCGTGCATGGCATGTCTGCAGGAATTCTCGATTCGATTCTCCTGGGCTGCATCCCAGTGCTCTTTGCGCGCTCCCAATACGACTACTGGCACCCCTTCCTCAACCTCACGGAGGCATCGATCCTCATCGACCTGCCCATCCCCTCGCCATCGGCCCTCTGCAACGCTGCTCATTCCCTCTCCTTCCCGGTCCCTTTCGTCTCGACCACATGTGCACGTGAGAAGCTGCGGCTGCGCCAGGCGGGCGAGCGCATCCTGGCTGAGCTCGAGATGGTGCCCGAGGCGACAATAAGGGCTAAGCAGGCCTATGGGCGGAGGATAGGGCAGTACATTCAGTACAGCGTGGGAGATGGCAAAGGGCAGGGGGACAGGGACGAAGATGCGCTTTATGTCGCGTTGAGAGCGCTTGCGAGGGAGAGGGATCGGGGAGTGGAGGCGTTGAAGAGACATGCAATGGTGTGAATGTGTGTGTGGATCGCACGGCACGCGGACCTACACGGATGTCTATCTCTATCTGTGCAATCACGGACAGGACAGCCCGGGGCAAATAGACCCTTTCATGCGACAGCCAGAGCACAAAGTTAGTTATTCGACACACGGCAAACCGGCCCGTGTATGCATGCATTACATCCGTCCAAAACCACGAAACACACACACGGCACATGAGTCACAAACAAATATATCAGGCACACAAAGCGAAGCACATACATACAGGCAGGCACCGCACCCGCATAGCACATCACCCATCTATCTATGAGTATCTTGGTCCCGACACCGCCCCGCGCACATGCGGCGGGACCGTATCAATCTTGGCCTTCTTGAGCCAACAGGTGTTCCTCAACGTCTCGTCAGCCACATTGGAGTGGTAGTGTGTGAAGAACTGACACTTAGCCGACGACTTGCTCTGACACATCGACTGGCACTCTATCTCGGAAGTGACGTCGCGCAAAGGCATCCCGGCCATATCGTTGCCGGGGTACTCTTTGTCAGGAAGCAAACCTCCTGCACACACAGCACAGGATGATGCATCAATGAATGAGACATGAGACAGCGACCTTGGTGTGCTGTGCTCTTGCCAAAGTGCTGACTGACCGCATCCCTTCGGCCCGGTGATGTATCCCTTGACATTGGCGTTGTGTGCGTCCTTGTCGTCCATCCGCCGTTCCCGCTTCAGGTAACACGCCTGGGCGTCCGGCCGGTCCTCGCCCTTCGTCGCGCCTCCCACGTATGTGAAGCCGTTGCAGTTGGGGCTCTGCTGGCACAGCTCCTGGCACACCAGGGGGGCGTCGATCATCACCTCACCCCTGGCCGACGGGCGCTTCAAAGCTTCCCCCTTGATGGGCATGTTGGGCAGATCGGGGCCTTCGAAAGCAGTGTCCTCTTCCAGACAGCCTGGTGGTCGGCCACACACAGAGACAGCAGGAAGGATGACCATCTCGTTCCATGTCTCCCCTCCGTGTTGTGTTTCTGCTTACTGCAGTATTTGGGACCGATGACATCGAGTGGCGAGTTGGTCGGCTCGACAACCTCCCTGCCGTATGCCGCCGTGAGAGTGCACATGTTAGTGTCCTCTCGCCAGTGAAAGCCCCTGCAGTCCCGCACTTGCTGGCAGCGGTACTGACAGAGGATTGCCGAGGTGACCTTTCCCTCGGGCGGCACGCGAGACAGAGGCCGAAGACTCCTGAACGCACTCCACATGCACGGCTCTGCAAATGAAGAAACACATCAGTCAACCCCACCCCCAGCACACGCACAGAGATGGGTGTAGTGTATTGATGTGTCTGCCCACCGTCTTTGGAGTATGCCGGCAGAACAAGGAAGCTTTCCCCGCCCGGGCCAGCCCCGGGGTTGATGGCGCCCTGCCACACCTCCACCTCACACAGCGACAGAATCCGCCCCTCCTCGCCCTCCCCAGTCAGTTCAGGCAGCACCAGCCAGACGTACTGTCCCACAGGCAGGTTGCTGCAGTTGAGCTGCGTGAACTCGCCTGGCGGGAAGTCGGGGGGCGTCACGTCCACAACGCACTGGGCGTTGGCGGGGTCGTCGTAAGAAGACACGCTGGGCCCCACATACACCTCCACGCCATCGATCCTGGGGGAAGGAAGAATGGGAGAGCTGACAATCAATGGTGTGTGTCGTCTGTTTGTGCGGTCTCTGCGCGCACCAGTCGGTGTGTGTCTTGCGGTTCAGAATTCTGACTGCTCCGATGGTGTACGGCCTCGTCAGCTCCACTCGCCACCAGGGGCGCTTGCCAGGCAGCTGCAGACACAAGGTTCACACACACATCGTGCACAGAGGAGATTGCATGGGTGTGGATTGTAACCGTCTCAGAGCAGAGTGTGGATGAGAGCGTGCCATCGACGGCAAGGCTGCTGGCGTGGGGGACACTTGCCTCCTGCTCCTCCTCCTCCTCCTGGACCGGCCTGTTGGGATCGAGCTCTGCTGGCGAGGAAGTTGTGCTCACGACTGGCTTGGGGAAGTGATCTGTCGGCCTGCAGGCCACACATCACACCACGCAGACCGGCTTTGTTGCTCCGGAATGTGAGCTCACATACGTACCTCACTCACCTGTGGAAAGCGAGATTGGGTGGAATGGCTTTGAGTCTCAGGTTCCTCTCCCTCTGTATGGCCTTGAGTTCGTGTTCATAGTACCCCAGGACCTCCACCTCACACAGCGACAGGACCGTGCTGGGGTCGCCAGGCATGGCCACCCACACGTATCGACCTTCAGGCCACCCGAAGTCAGCCAGCTTCTGGCACTCGATAAGGGTGGTGCCGAACATCTCCCAGTTGCTCTGCACGCCGCCCTTGGGGATGCAGGGCAGGTTGCCCGGCGATCGGAAGGCGCAGGCGTTGTTGCCTATCCAGATCTCGGCTCCACGGAGGCTGGGAGGGAAGAGAGACAGCATGCCATGCTCGTGAAGTGAGATGCGCGAGGGTATGTTTCCCTCTTGTTCTTGTCTGTACCGGTCCCTGGCCGTGATGGAGACCCCCCAGACGGGGTGAGAGTCCTTTAGGTCGACGCGCCACCATGGGTCCCATCCTATGTCCTGGGGGTTATGACAGACAGGTGTCATCCGTCTGAGTGGTCGGCCATTGCCCTCTATGCTCACGCACCGCCACAGTCTTGGTACACGACGGCGAGCTGCCAACTCGCGACATGGACTTCTGGCCATCGACGGGCAGCCACGCCTCGCTCCGCTCAGATGTCGAGCTCTGACTCGCCTCCCTGCATACACACACACACACACACACACACGATCACGCCTGTGTCTGTCATCTATCTCCCCCACGTACTCACTTCTCCAGGGCAAAATTGGTCCTAGGCGGCGGTGTGGGAAACGGCTCCTGCAGGGCTTCCTCTTTCCATGTCAGCGGCCCTCTGGTGGTGGTCGATGTGGTCTCCTCGCCAGGCCTGGCCGTCGCCCCTGGTGGCAAAGGTGTGGTGCTGACATTCTCCGTCGGGACGAATGGGAACTGTACGGTGCCGTTCTCGCGGTCGGTGGGCGGGATCTCGCCGACCTCTGTGCCCTGGCACATGCAGATGAAGGCCACCTGCTCGTACTTGGCGGTGGCCGGGCAGAAGGAGGTGGCGAAGGAGGCGTTGAGCTGCTTCAGGTCGCAGTACGTCTCGCCGTTGCACTTTTCCCTAGACACAAACCACGGAGAGACACATAGAGAGCGGAGGGGGTGTTTGAGGTGCGCTGTGAGGGTAAGGTGAAGAAAGCTTCCTTACGAGACGTCCTGCGTGATGTCCCTGAGCCTGCACTTGTCTTCATCGAATGAGGGTGTGGGTCTGCACTGGTGCTGGTCCTTCCTGCCGTAGCCGGCGTAGTAGACGTGGATCTCCTTGCCCATCTCGCACGACACGAAGTCCGAGTCCTCGTCACACTTGATGCGGGCTGACATGGACGGCGGCAGCTTCGTGTCCTGACACGTCTGCAGCGGCACATATGGCAGCGGCGGGAAGGCGTTCCTGGAGGGAGGGACGTCCTCTGATGGACGAACAAAGACCCATAGATGTTTGTTGTGGTGCGCGCGTGTGTGTGTGTTTGTTTCGCTGACCGGGCACCCCGCAGTGGCATTTGTATCTGATGTGGAGGTACTTGGGTCCGTCGCACGGGTGGCCGAAGTAGTAGAAATGCGCATACACCAGACACTGATGCTGTGTGTCGCACCCGTCCCTGCTCGAACAACCAACCATACACAACACACGCCTCTCTATGGACGGAAGCGCAAGAGAAGACAGACACTGGTTCGCCCCACCTCCCTCCCTCCCGTACTGAATGAGCTTGGTGACGTCCAACGAGCAGTCGCCCAGCACAGGGGCCGGGGTGCATATGTCGGAGTCCCCCCGACCAAAGAAAGCCTCATACACATAGATGCCCTTGACGCCCCCAGTGTCCGGGCAGTGCAAAAAGTCCATCTCGCCCTCACAGATGATCACCTCCTGCACACTGTCGTAGCAATGAGGTCCCGTCCCTACGCCGCCCCGACCCTCTATAAAGACAGACGCCTCCAGCCGCCCCAGCTGTTTCCGAATGGAAGAAGGCACCGCTTCCCTTGTCCGTGAAGGCAGAGCAGCCGGGATACTCTGGGGAGTGCTGCTGACGTGCGGGAAGGCGTCGTGCTCACGGGGCGGGTCGAGGGCATTCACGAGGAAAGATGACCACACCTGAGGGGTTTGCGCGTGGTCTTGCACTGGTGTGAGGCTGGCAGCGGTTGAAATGGTTGAGCCATCGAGCCCAGCAGCCGTCAAAACAGAGAGAGAAGGACAACTCAGAGCCACGAGTCCCACAATACTCCACCATAGCAGCCTTCTTGACCACAGCAGCGGACGGCGGCCCCATTTGCGATGAAGTGAGGGTAGCGGACACCATCCTCTTTTCGGGTCATTGGTGTGACGATCTCTGCATGACTGTAATGGGAAGAAGCGCGTGGATGTGGCGTCTGCAGCAGCCAGCGCCCTTGGTGGCGCTTCACAGTGCGATGGGCTGCCAGAGAGAGCAGCAGGGCTAGTTCGATGCGCTGGCATGATGGGGCAGAGGGGAGAGCTTGCCCCCCGTGCTTCGTGCAGTGCCCCCACGAGCCAAATTTCACCGATCCCTAAGGAGAAACAGTCGCCAGAGGAACAATGGTAGTGGATTGATCTGCGGATCTGCAGGGAGAAAGACAGCTGGCCATGCTGCATCGCATCAAGCTGGTCTCCATCGTGCATCCTCGGATCTTTCTACCCGTGGTCATGCTGCTGACGCTGTCCCGCTGCTCTGGCGTTCATCCATACGAGAGGAGGTTTCATTCCTCAGCCGCCTTCCTCTCGCCCTCCACTGTCCACACGAGGAGGCGGGCATCGAGCCCAATTGCGACCAGTCTCTCATCGTCGATGAGGAGTGAAGAGGCAGCCTTCGGCAGGAGAGCGGCGCTCTCATCTATCGGTGCTGCCCCTTTCCTGCTGTCACTGATTCCGCTGGCCGATGCCGATGCGCTTGCCAAGGACGAGCTGGTCAAGAAGACGATGAGGGAGAAGACCCCTGAAGAGATAGAGGCTGAGAAGGAGGCCTTGGCGCAGGCCAAGCGAGAGAGATTGGAGAAGCAGAAGAGACTGGTTGAGGAGCAGAGGAGGCGGAGGGAGGAGGGCGAGCAGGAGGAGGGCATTGAGCCGACACTCTATGTGCAGGTGGGTCTGTCTGGCGGAGAGCTGTCCACTGTGTGTACTGTGTTGTGGTTGTTGGAAGGTTGCATCTCGCTCTCTGTGTGAGTGCAGTACACTTACCCCACTGCGCGCAAGAGGTATCTGCCTCGCGTCAAGGCATTAGCGGATGAGATTGGCGGCATCGCACCACTCGTCGAGGCGGGCAAGTGGGGCAAGGTCAAGACGTTCGCAGAGGGCACTGCAGAGGGTGCCAGACTACCGCTCAAGGTGGGTACATGCATTAATGGCATACAGACACACCTACACGCACGAGTGCGCTTCGTGTCCTGGCTGATTGGATTGCAGCTGTATGCGTCGTCCCTCGCCGGGCAAGGGCTTGCCCAGTCGGCAAGTTTCATCAAAGTCATGAACAAAGAGGCGGAAGAGTACTCCGCCTCTTTGGACTCTTTCCAGAAAGCTGTCAACAAGAAGGACACCAACACGTCAGAAACAAGAAAGACACTCACCACCATTTCGGGACACGTGTGTGTGTGTGTGTGTGTGTGTTTCAGTGCGTTGGTCTCGCTCGCCAAGATGAGCACATCTCTGTCGACCTATCGGCGAGAAGGCAAGATTGACACCGAAGATGGGGGCGTCGGCAGGGTGGAGTCACAGCCAAGGGGCAGTGGATTCTTCAATAACAATCCGTCAGCCATCCACACACATGAATGAGTGTAGGGCCACATGGGTCACTCACTGCATGTACTCTTGTTTGTGTCGACATATATCGTCTGGCAGGGGTCTCTATCAAAAGAACCTAAGCGCCCTCGAGAAGAAGAGGCAAAGAGGCGAGGATAATGACGACGACTGATCACAATGTCGAGTCGTTGCTGAACGGGCGGACAGAACGACAGAATGAGATGAGATGAGATGTGATAGTTTCCGGTGTTGATGCGTAGGGCTGCCAGATGTGATGCATGTGATGTGGGGATTCGATATCGATTTTGCCACTCGTTCGTTCATTGTAGGCATGAATGAATGGACAAACTGCGTCCAGACGCCGCGCTCATACTCACACGTGACAGTGTCCGTCCGTTGCACCTCTTTGACAGCTAATCAAACCACCCTCCCTCGTGCAGACAGACCGTTGAATCGCTCACTTCACTGGCACTCACCCAGTGACTGACATGTGACAGCCGGACTACGACACGAACAACGCATCCTGCTCTCTCCTCTGCCCTCACCACAGGTCCATCACAACTACTCGTCTGCCGGTCTGCCCTTCTTGTTGACCTTGACCAACTCGACCTCGAACAGAAGTGGCTCATTGATGTGCACCGCCAGCTTCCGCTTGCCGCTGAAGGTGTCTGGCTCTGGCCGCTGGTTGGACGTGTTGAATCCCAGCTCAGGTGGAACCAGGATCTTGCGCAGTGACCCCACCCTCATGCCAGACATGGCGTCCTCCACCGCCAACGGAATCTGCACCCATTTAGTCGGTAAGGTAAGGCAAGGTATGGTGTTGTTTGTTCGCCGGCCTTGTGAGCACCGTTGTGTTGTGTCACCTTTTTATCCGGATCTCCGTATTTGATAGCGTAAGTGTCGAGTCTGTCCTGTTTGAACTCGCGACCATAACCTGCAGAACAACACAACACACACGCACTGGGCGCACTCACACGAGGCCCTGCCTGCCTCTCTTCTTCCCGTGCTCACCCACCCACCCACCCAGGCTGAACACATAGTCGCCATTCCCCTTGTAGACCTGGTACTTAACCTTGCAGGTATCACCCTTCTCACACAGCGGCGCATCAGACGGCCCCTTCACAGGCTCTCTGTACCTGACGCCCTTGGAGCTCCTCAGCAGCGGCCCTTTGGCAGCTTCCTCTGCCTCTCTCTTCCTCTCGCCTATCTCCCTGGCCTCTTCTATCGACAGCGGAGGGCTCTTGGCCACGGCTGCAAGCGGCAGCAGAGAGGCCGTCAGTGCAACAGCCGCTGATGAGAGGTGGCTCCGTCTTGTGGAGGCGGCTGACATAGAGGTAGATGGCAGTGTTGCTGCAGGCCGCCTACGGTGCGGTGGATGGGGAGATCTGCGGTGCAGGTGGGAGATGCTGAAGGCATGAATGTCGATGACCAAGATGAAGATGACGTTGAAGGCGAGGAGGAAGATCCAGAATCTCTTCATGATACCAAACGCAGGATTCTCCGCTGGCGGCCATCAGCGCGTGAAACCGCTGCTGCCGTGAAACCAACCCTGGCATTACCCTTGGCAGCCGGTGCGTCTGTTTCCGTGTGTCTTGTCTATCCTTCCTCTGTCTGCATGACCATGGTGTCACATGACTCACCTTGTTCACCGAGATGACAGTGCTCACTTCCTTTAGAGCTTCTCTGCCTCTTCCTCCCTCGTGTCGGCCTTCCCTCCCCGCCCTCGTCAACTCTCTCTGGAGAGCCGCGCCAGCCATCAGCCACGGCGTCCGTGCGGTAGCGACAGCGGCGAGCTCCGTCACACTCTCACGGCAGCGAATCAATCAACTTCTCGAGGGCGAGATAACCCACTTTGCCTTGAAGGCTCAGCGGCCGCTTGACTTCCAGCAGATCATCAATATCCGCAACATACAGGAAACCGCGCGATTCCTGCACGCGGAGGTAAGTCAGTCAAGTCGGGGGACGCGAGAGGCGGGGTCGTTCTTGACGTGTCGCGCACTGCACACGTGTCTGGCTGTCGTGTCTTGTTTGCTTTTGTGTGTGTCTTTGTTTGTTGGGTCAGTTGCCTGTTCGGTTTGCCAACCGGATTCGTTCGTTGGAGGAGCTCCCAGGCTGGCGGTCCATCCCAGCCCTCGTCGACGTGCGGACATCGTACGTCGAGTCGTTCAAGGACCTCAGGCTGGTTGCCGTCGATGACAGGTATGGGAGGGAATGGAGGCCACTCACCTCACACACAAATGCTCACTCGGGCATCCATCCCATGACGTGACCTCTCTTTGTGTCATCCATCCCATCCGTTCACGCCATGCAGGTCTGATTTCCGCGCGGCTCTACAGCGAGTGAAGCAGCGTCACGGCAAGGTGGTCCAGCTCCTCACAACTGGTCTGCGAGACCTGCAGCACGCCAGGCCCCTCGAGCTGTCGCCTACTTTTGTGGACGCCTTCCTGAATGAGTTCTTCCTCTCACGGATAGGCACGGAGCTAATCCGCGAACAGGTGAGACAAAGCTGTGTGACACACGCACAGCCATGCCCGCCATGTGCACATGTCTGTGTGTGTGTTGTTCTGGCAATGCTTCCAGTATATGACGGTCGAGCGCTCGAATGGCCGTGGCTCCGGCATCATCGACCCAGAGTGCGCGCCTTTGGAAGTCATCACCAGGGCGGCCCGCGACGCCGGCCGGCTGTGCGACTACCACACCCAGAGCGCCCCCACCGTGCAGCTCTTCACCCCCCGGCTCATGACCTCCCCCCTACGCTTCGCATTCGTGTCGAGGTACCTCTACTATGTCGTGTTCGAGCTCCTCAAGAATAGCATGAGGGCAGTGTCTGAGAAGGGCCCGGCTGCGGACGAGAGCGACCTGCACAGTGGTGAGGGTGCGAGGCGGCCCACGTATGAGCTGGAAGGGACCAACACGAGGCTGCCGCCGGTGCGGGTGGTGCTGGCGGGCGACTCCGAGACCATGCACATAAAGGTGAGGGCAGTAGAGGGGAGAGGGGGGAGGTGAGTTTGTGTCCGTCTGATGGGTGGCCATGCGATGCTGTGTGTGGCTGGGCTGTTATGTGTGTGCAGGTGAGTGACCGTGGCGGCGGCATTCCTCTGGCCCTTCAGCCCAAGATCTGGTCGTACCTGTACACCACGGCCACGCCGGCGCACGTCAAGGTGTCACACACGGGCATCGACGGGCCCGCCACGACAAACGGCAATGGTAAGCGCGCCGGGCGACACACACGGCAAGCAACAAACCAAAGACGGACGCCACATACTGTCTGTCGCCACCTCTCGCTCTTCAGGTGTCCCGCCTCTGGCTGGATTCGGTGTGGGTCTGCCGCTGAGCAACCTCTACACTCAGTACTTCGGCGGGCGGCTGCGTCTGGTCTCCCTCCCGGGCTTCGGCACTGACGCCTACGTGCAGCTTCCCGGGCTGCTCGGCAACGTGCAGGAGAAGGTGGCCAGGGGCTGGGAGCCCATCAGGGCGGGCAATCAAGACGCCAACGCCGCCGTGCCATCGTATGCGGGCGTGTCCCTCCACTACCCGACCGCCCCAGTGCTTCTGGGCTCCTGGCAGGAGCGGCCGGTGGGCGAATCGCGGCAGAGCTCCTTGGACATGAGCGGCGAGCTGGTGAATGACGAGTGGGGCAGGAGGGATATCATTGCCGCGGCCGCTGTTGCCTAGACTGTAGACGATAGGGGCGAGTAGAGGCTGGCAGGGATGGGGCAGGGATGGTGTGTTGTTTGTGTACATATGTATGTATGATGGGGCGGGCAGGGGCTGATTTCTTTCTCTTCTTTCTTCCACCATCAATTACATCACACGACAGACAGACAGGTGTTGACTTGACCATCTCAGGACAGGACACACCTGTTTGTATCATTCATTCTCCTCTTGACTTTTACTCGGATCAAGCCACAAATCGCTGACCACGCGTTTGTATCTCTATGTCTGCATGTCTGTCTCTGTGTGTGGTGTGTCTGTATGTCTGTATGTATGTCTGTGTGTGGTGTGTATATACATCACTGTATCCATGTGCATGCACTACCTGAGGGTATTTGTTGACACAACAAGACAGGCCGAGCCATATGTGGAATTCGGGCGGCTTTTTTCGCCTTATCTCGCGCCATGCACTGCATGAGCTGCCAGCCGCCCGCCCACAATGCCGACTGACAAGCACCGCCTGTTGATGCATGAGATCGAGTGCTACACGCTTATGTGCGTGTTGGGGGCCGGGGGA